AGTAAAAAGTAGAAAATTTGACATACTAGTCTTGTATAAATTTTGTTCAAGTATCTGAGATGCCTGAACCTTGGAAAATAGTGAGTCAACTAAGTGACAGGAACAATTTACATACCTTGAAAGCACCCATGGCTTCATTCAATTTGCTTTTAAACTCCTCAATGTATGCCATATCCTCTGTAAAACTGGGAAGTCTCCTCCATTGGCTGCACTGTTGAACATCTGCGCCTCTTTCTTTTAAATAATTCAAAACGCTAATGAGTTCCCCGGATTCAAACGGTATCAGCAACAGATATGTCAAACCACACACCCTTTGAGATGCTCAAGACTCGATTGCCAAGCAAGCGGAACGTGATCCTTCCCATAATGACAGGTATACTGAATAATCTTCTCGACCTGCGCGATGAGGTTCTCCGAGAACTCAGCCCAGGCTTTCTTATTAGTATTAAATTTCTATTTCTAACCATTAGATAGATGTCACAGATCCGCTTAAGCAGCACTACAAACCTTGGTGATGTCAATGATGGCCAAGGTGTCGGCGACGGCGGCTTTCAAACTCGGCGAAAAAACATTCTCAGACATAGCGACAATCTCGAGCGCCTGAAGACCACCTCTGCCGCAGTCACGCAGAAAGTCGCCCGCCCCGGGATCCAACCCAAAGATGTTGTCGGTGCTGTTAGTGCTGCTAGTGATGTTCACGTTCATGGTGATGGTGGTTGGTGAGAAAGACGAGAGGCGCCGAGATGCGGTTGCGGTTGCATCGCCTCATGATGAGGGCAGGTCATCATGTGAGCCCACTCGAGAGGCGCCGGAAGCGCTTCTCTCAAGTTCAACTTGTTACCTATTATAGACGAAGGTATTTTATAGAGGGCGGTCCTGGGAGGAGAGCTCATCGATCGCTCATGATCTTGCTTCATCACCTAAACCCTCACTTAATCCTACAGCAGCACTGCGGCGTCTGAGCCGTTTACACTCTACACTCGACCCACTACGTCTCGCAATCGAAATGGATAATCGTGAGCCCAGAACGACTGAAACTGAGACGCAAAGTACAACCGCTTCGACTTTCTGCTGCACAAAACTCCAGTTGAGCAACACGCTTTATGCATCTTGTATTGCGATGCATACCTTCCTTGCTATTTTAGTTGATACTGGGCACAGCCGTCGATGTAAGACGCAAGCTAAACTTGGGTGTGAGTTTCAAAAGCATTGATAATTGCAATGATGGCGGTCACCGTGCTGAGTCTTTACTCAAGCCGGCCACACCGCAACCTCCCTACGGCGAGCCTCCATGAAGTCAATATTCACCGAAAGCCATCAACGTTTTTTGACGATGTTTGGCTCGTTCACGGGACCTCTGGCGATCAAAGATGAAGTGATCCTGCCCAGGGGAACCTCGGCCGGCAACATCGCGCGCGGGTTCCACTCTCAGACGAAAACAGCGAGAGCTCAGGATTGAATAAAGAACCACCAAACTCGCGCCGCGACATCTTTACGTCGAGGCCGGATTGAGCAATACGTCCACAACATTTTGGAATGATAAAAAGAAGCAGAGTACTCACTTGATAGTAGGGGTTCAACGGTCATCCACAATCATCCGCTGCACCTGCTACACCTTGAGGTTTGTTGAGTGGGGTTTGAAGTTGGCAGTACATTGCGTGATTGGAGGTCATCATTCTCCGCCACTGGCGCTCGGATGTTACCCCGTAGCGCCCACCTTCGTCCTTTCAATGCCTAGGTTATTGGGATTGCACGTCCTACTGCACTTTCACTTTCGTTTGCGATTCCTTTACCTGGATTTGCCCTCCCATTTCTTTAATTCACTTGTACTCTTCCTTCTTCCCTTCCCCCCCTCTTTTGCACCCTCCTTCTGACTTCGACGAGCTCAACTCACCCACTTTTCCCAGCAGTCCGTTCTTCTCTCTCAATCATGCTTTCAAAATCTTCGCCAGGCCAGGCGAACGTCACCTTTGGAACACCCTTCCATCGTCGTTAGGTTGCCTTGAAAACAACCCAAAGCATCCGCGATCTTTGAAGGTGTTCGGCTCGTTGAACCCAGTTCCTTTTACGCGGAACGTCAACGGCTTGCGGAGAGTGGCTGGAAATCAGCCCATTACATGGAGGTTCCAGTGAGTATGCACCTCCTTTTCATGTTAGTCTGGTGGTTAATGGATCGACCGACAGCTGGCTCTTGTATTATATCCGAAGAGCATCTGTCGCATTCTCTGCAGGCCCCAGTCGGCTTCTTGGGGGGTACCCTCTGGGTTTCCTCCGCTGTTGTCGTCTCCTGCCATTTCCGCGCATACGTTTCGGGGTGTCGATCCCGAACAGCTTCCCAAAAACTTCATTCCTATACGCGATCCTCCACCCCACCCACTATCAACACACCCTCAGAACCTCCGCTCATCACCCCGGAACGTCCCAACCCTCTGCGTCCACTCCTCACCAACATCGCGTTCTGCCAGTTGTTTGCCGTGTGTCTAAGCGGCAACTACAAGGACCCAAAGTACAGGTTGCTCCATTCTTTCGGATGAAGAAGTGTCAACGACAATAGAAACCCATCGCCATCATCTTCCATCTTGCCATCCACACTTCGGATGAAACCTGCAGCATCCCACATACCCCCAATTCAATAGGACCGCCATCTAGAGACTTCTCACCCTCGGAGCTCTCTCTGGCGTGAGGATCCAGCCTTTAGATTCGTTCCTCCTT